GCACCTTCATTTAGAAACTGCATTTTGTGTTTACTTGTGTCATCATTGTCTAACATTTACATTTTTTAGATGATCTGAAACATGTAAGTGTAACAAATTTCTTTATTCGATGTATTGATCTCGTATTTTAACCAATCACTTTAGTAACAGTAGTATCACATTGTCACTAAGGTTAGCTTCCCGAGTGGGCCTTTTGCTCTATCACACCTACACACAGACATACTGGGGGCCGTTTAAGTTCATGGGAGACGTTAAACACATAGTGAGACTCCTGCTTATCAGGGATGTAAATCTATAGGTGACAGCTAAGTAGGAAAAAGGTTATAATTCTCTCTGTGAGGGGGGAAGGTTTTAAGGATGGGGATGAAGGTATAGCTGCTTTGTAGTGCAGATCAGACAAATGAGCTAATTACTCTTCTCCTGCTGTTACATTTTATTAACAAATTAAACTTACATTTCACAAGGTATGGAGAGCTGACCTCCGGCTCCTCTCGGCTCTCAGTCTTTAAAGGGATAAAGCCAAAAGAGAACGTCTCCACTCCTTGAAGTTGCTCTCCCTCATGGCTACTCCACATTTCTTCCTGTTCCTCTTTGATGTAGCGAGCACCTATGTGCTCATGGTTCAAGCTCACTCCCAAAGTTTGTTGTTTCGGTGCTGTGTCTATTTCCAACGCCGGCTGGGATTCTGCAAGAAACACAGATACAAACAAATATTTGGACAGCAGTTTTCTGCATGTGACCTTCCTATAAAATGCATGCTCTCGTGTTATGGTTAGATTTTGCTCCCAAGCAGTCAGACTTTCTTGTAATTTTTGTTAAAGTGCTCTTGTGAGGATGTCTTTATTCTGATACAACTTACACAATCTCAGCGACGTCTGATACTTGATTTCCTTTTACCCGTTAAGACTCAACTATAGCAACTGAATTACAATCAAGCAACGGGAGAAAACAGAGAGGAAACGCTGCACAGACCTGTGTGTGGTGAGGGAGCTCCCGGGGTTTTTACAGATTCCAGCAGCCTGTGCTGTCGTTCTGTTTCCTCCACCAAGGATTCTGCAAGAAACACAGATACAAGCAAATATTTGGACAGCACTTTTCTGCATGTGACCTTCCTATAAAATGCATGCTCTCGTGTTATGGTTAGATCTGACCCAATAACATTTAAGCATCACTTTAAACATAGCGCAAAAGTGAAAGGATGCTATCACAGTGCAAAGGCCTTGAGCCGCCCCTCATTTCTTTAGATTTCGCTCCCAAGCAGTCAGACTTTCTTGTAATTTTTGTTAAAGTGCTCTTGTGAGGATGTCTTTATTCTGATACAACTTACACAATCTCAGCGACGTCTGATACTTGATTTCCTTTTACCCGTTAAGACTCAACTATAGCAACTGAATTACAATCAAGCAACGGGAGCAAACCGAGGACACGCTGCACAGACCTGTGTGTGGTGAGGGAGCTCCCGGGGTTTTTACGGATTCCAGCAGCCTGCGCTGTCGCTCTGTTTCCTCCACCAAGCGAGCCACATTGTCTCGGTACTCTGCAAAGGTTTTCTCAAACAGTCCCACTATCTCTTCAGCCACTGCAGTCAGCCGCTGATTCACCAGCAGCTTTATTACTTCCACTTCGGACATTTCCGTGCTATAGGCGACGGTGTCGTTTGAGACAAAGTTAAAATAAAAAACGAGCTAAAAGCGTTTTTTTTTCTGGAGAGAAAGACTCACTGAGAAAGACTGAACACGCAAAGAAACACCGACTGTGACTTTTTGCTGTATGATAAATCAACTTCCGAGTAAAAAGAGCGGGGCAACAACGTTTAGTAGGTGCCGGGCGCCATATTACTCCAGCAGCTCTTTCTTCTTCTGTTGGATTTCCGGTAGTCTAACGAATCCAAAGCCTAGAGCTGCCCCCATCAGGCCATTCGTAGAATTACAAGATGATCAAATCCTGACATATGTCTGGTACTATGCAAAAAACCTAAATATTGATTTTATGGGTCCACAATGATCCAAATTGAATACTGATCTAAAGGAGTAGTCTGTAATGTCCACTCTGATGATCAATGCAGATAGTTTCTGTCTTTCACATGTCCATTTTCTTTCAGGATGCTTTCTCATCAATGCCAACCCATGATTCAAAGCACAGAGGCAGTGTTAGCCCACTCAGTATCATCCTGTCCCTCCTGCTCATTGTTACATGGAGCAGATGGTGTTTCTGTATCTTGATAGTCTTTTGCAATGAAATGTAATCACACCCTTTTCATTTTCCCATTGCTTCTGCTGCAGAGCTGTTACGCTTTCTACACTCTGAAGTCCCTGTGTCTAATCTGAGGTCAATACCAATCCCTTCCATGCCAGTTCTACTGATTCTCTGGCTTTTTCAAGCCTGTACGATAGAACCAGGAGCTTCACCTTTACATCTGATCAAGCGACAGGTCATTTTTCTTTAAGTCTCATCAAAACTGAGCTGAAATCATCACTCTTCTTAACCTGACCTCCTGCACCCACTTTAGCTAAGTACTATTAACAGAAACTACTTCAGCTGAGCTTTGTGATGTCGAGGTCTGGGATGTCAGGCAAAGTCTGATTTGCCACTTCATCATGGGCCACTTTGTATAAATCTGTAGGTGAGATACCCAGCTCCTTCTTAACTTTTCCTCCACCATGGACACAGAATTAGAATTTGCTCCTGTGTTTTCTAATGTACTGAGATCGTTTTCTGGTGTGGAAAGAATCCATGTCAAAATCACTGCCCACTGAATTTGAAGGGCTACAACCAACTTTAGCATTTTCTAATAATACTATGTTGTTGGATGTTGTGGTTGATGTCTCCTACGTTTGATTGTGTATCACATTGCTGTTTTTCCCTTATTGCTTATTCCTGGTGGTGTTTATCTAATTTCTACCAATAAAGGTGGAGGTGTATGCAGGGCCCCAAAGCATAAAACTGGGGCTTTAGCCTCAATTACATTCAGTCTTTTTAAATTAGTTTGAGCTGCTGTTCCAAAACATAAACAGCTAAGTCTTGATCCAATTTCTGCTATTTGCTTTTCCCAAGTGAACCTTCTATCAAAATATACATCCCAAAATAAACTTTGATTCACCCTCTTTCTCAAGGTTTATATATACATATTTCTTTCTATTCAGATATAAGCCATGATATCTCTGTGAAGGTTCTCAGTCACCCAGGTCATCGGAGTCGGGCTTGGAAAGAAAAGCGTCTGGACTTCTTTAAGTTTCCTTGAAGATGTTTCACCTCTCATCCGAGAAGCTTCTTCAGTTCTAAGAGCAACTGGTGGGGAGTTCCAGATTTTAACCCTAATGGGAGTGTCCCCAAGAGTGTTATGGACTCAGGATGTGAGTGGGCGTGAAGATGTCTGGGAAGGGATCTCAAAACTGGATTATAGACAGTGGACAATTAGTGTCATAAGCCACTGCCTCTGTGGTCGTTCACAGTGGACATAGATGGCTTCTTTCACTCCTCTTTCAAACCAAAGTGTGAAGTGTGAACACTGACATCCTCAAAAGAGTGACCATTGTCCTTTAGATGCAGTTGACCAGCCGAATCTTGACTCTGCATAAACGCCATGCATTTCATAATTATTAATCTCTGTCTTTATTCCACAGCATGTCTTTGTCCTGTCTTCGTTCCCTCACCCCAACTAGTCATGGGAGATGGACACCCCTCCCTGAACCATGTTCTGCTGGAGGTTTATTCCTGTTAAAAGCTTTTTTCCTTCCTGCTGTCACCAAAGCATCTGCTCATAGGGGGGTCATATGATCATTGGGGTTTTCTCTGTTTTCTTTGTTGCTGTGGGTTATTTACTGTACAATATAAAGCACCCTGAGGCAACTGCTATTTATTTTTGGTGCTATATTAATAAAATTGACTAGAATTTAACTGACAGTTGAATACAACATCTCAATGTCCGCCTGGATGAACTGGAGCAGGTGGCTGCAGTGAGGGAAGTCTGGGCTTCTCTGCTTACCCTACCCTGTGTGACCCAAACCCACATAACTGCCAAAAAATGGGTGAATGGATGGACCTTACCTGAAATTAAAAATCATCTAGGCTCAGTTCATTAATCATGAGATGAAATATCCTCATGAACTGTCCAGTTCAAGAGGATAGTTTTCTTAGCGATTCATGAGGCAGTAAGGACTATATGTGATGTATTTGGTTCCGTACCTAATTTGCTTTCGTCACCTAAGATGCACAGCTTGGGTGATGTTGGAAAAAAAGAGATTTAAAACTAGTGGACGATGTTGCCTGTCTGAGATGTGTTTGCAGTAATGCAGTTTCCTGAAGACTCTTTATTGGATTTTGACAGATCTGCGTTCTTTGTTATATACTTGTATTCTGAGGGGATAGTTTATGTTATTCATATCTCAGAAATATATATAACCACATGTTATATGTATTCTCTCCATAAATGTTATGAATATGTGCAGATCCATAAACCTGTACGGATTCTGTTTATCACGTAGATATAAACTACACATATAAAAGCTAGTAGTCAGCTTTGTACGCATTTATGACACATGCCCTACTTCAATATCAGCTGCAAGTATGATGAAGAATAAAGAGCTACTTGCGCATTCATTGATCTTTCTAAGCCATATGGAAACATGAACCACAGAGGCACTCTCACCCAGCATCCCCAGTCTCAACTACAAGCCCTCTTTTCTTATTTTTTAATCACCAAAGCATTAAGCTTCATAAAGGTCTGGTCTGTGTTTGATAAACAAGTGCAAGTGTAGTTAAATTAACACATGGAAGTAGGCAAACTCTACACACTGATCTAAAATACTTTTTCTTATACATATACATGCACAGTTTTCCACCTTGGTCCCACAGGCCAAAGACTGTGTGGCTCGTGACTCGGTGGATTAGCTGATGACTAATTTAGCCGTAGGTGTCGCTCTGTGATGGGCTGCTGGGCTGTCCAGAGTGCACCCCGCTTTTCTGCTACATCCTTCATGTGCTGTCTGTTATTTCATACAATAAATATTAGATAAAATGTTGCACAGCAGAAATAACTCCATGGTAACTGTTCGGCATCTATTCTTTGAACAAACACAAACGATTGTAATTATTGGGCGTAAAAATGATGAAGCATGCAGAGGTGGCAGAGAGGGGGTGGTGGAGGCTAGGTAGAGCAGGAGAGGGAGGGTAGCTGTGGAGTATGTGACGTCTCACGCAGGCTGCCGATCGTTTGTGATGCTGTGGATTTGACGGGCTTTCATTCAAACATTCGTTGAGATCCTAATCATAATCTCTATGTGGTCTCTCCTCCGATCCGTGATGTTTTGATACCTGCTGTGGATCACAGACAGGAGCAGCTTGGTTTCCTGCCTGGCGTCTACATCGTGGTGTCAGCCCTCCGCCCTCCTGCAGCCGAGAGGCAGCTGAGCGCTCCATCAGGCCGCGGGGAAACCACTCTGTCTCCGGTACTCAGGGATGAGGCGGGCCCGTGGATGTGGTGGGTATGGCGGCATGTCGAGAAGGGTTAATATTCCGCTGTGCTGTAACAAAAAAGACAGTGTTAGCCAGCCTCTTTATTAAGAGGCGCGTAATGACAGACTGGGGTAGCTCGTACAATGATGTGTAAACACATAATATCACTGATCTGTTGTTTCTAGCTTGAGATATGCAGCACTATTATCGAGCCTTCGGATATTTATGAAGCAATATATGTTGAATGTTCAGTGTGAAAGATATGTCACTGTATATCACAGGCCTTTAAAAGAAACTATGAATCTATTCCAACAGTAATAAGTACTCCAGAACTATTAATGATTTCTAATGAGTGCACGAAACAAAAGATGTCCAGCATGCAAATAAGGCCATACAAAATTAAAGGGGATGCACAGTGGTTTATGCTCTTAAATGGACTCACTCAAGTTTAACTGACTTTTTGTTATGATGATTGAGCACTCCATTTATTTCTTTTTTACTGTAGTTCCAATATAATAAAACAACAACAACAAAACAAACAAACAAACTTTTGGCTGGATCATACCTTTGCTTTCTATATTGCAATAATATGAACGATACTGATCATTTTTGACCGGAGAAATTTCTGTCAGAATTGCAAAGAAAGTTAGAAAGCTACTAGTAAAGGCAAGAGTCTGATCTTTGAGAAAGAAAGAAAACTTGAGCAGCCTGTCCATGAGTATTAACAGCAATGTAAGTTGGCTATATTTGATCACTTGTGTTTGTTTTTTACTCTTATTTGTTATTGTGTCTGAGAGAAAAATGATATCTGCCATCAAACAACTGCTATTTTCATTTTCTTTACATACCTAAATATATATTTTTCACGGTCTCAATGTGACGTCACTTTGTTGGAATCCAATTTGTGAAATTCAGAAACATCTGCCTTCAACTCAAAGTCGTCAGCAATTGGCTACTTTAGCAAGCATTAAGACAACAAATTTGAGACTTTACCAACCGTAAGTCTTAAGAGCTCTTTGTCTCTTGTCTTCTGTCTGTTGTGTTTCCTTGTGTTGCAGACAGTGCTGTGGGATCCTGATAAACCAGTCCAATCATCATGCAGTGTTCTTGGAAGTCCATGGTATTGTTAGCATTGGCCTCCATAGCCATCCAGTACACAGCCATCCGCACCTTCTCCAGCAACCCCTTAAGCTTTCTGTGCTCTGTGGGCCTGGCACCTTCAGGTTTGACTGTCAACTGCAGCCCCAAAGAGTTGATGCAGGTGGGCCAGGAGACACCCGTGAACTTGGATCATAGCTGTGATAGAAGCCCCTCCCATGCTAATTCCTCCCCTTCTCTCTCCAATCCTTCCTATAATGTCACCAAGAGAACCCACATCCTCATTCTGGCCACCACACGGAGCGGGTCCTCATTTGTGGGTCAGCTGTTTAACCAGCATCCAGAGGTTAGAAATTATATAGTTTCTGTGACCTGTCGGATTATGATGAAAAATCATGAAGTCATGTCCTTTCTGATGCTTTTGAATCAGTGGTTTCTAAATGCACAAAGAGCCTTTAATTTAACAATCCAGACAAAATGTATTTGATTTCATTCACATAATTTTTTGTCTACATATTTAATAGATCTTACATCTACAATAACTTCAAGTTTACAAACAGAACAATTAAATAAAAATAAACTTAGAAATCTAAACAAACTAATTTTTAACAGATTTAAAATGATTTCTAAATGAGTTTTTAAAGGTTACAGGATCAGCACTTTTCAAAATAAATTCTATGTAATTAAAACATTTATTACAGTAAAGCATTTCTTCATTACATATTGCAGATAATGTGAAAGGAGAGTCAAAATGTCAAGCATGGTCAGAATTTGAACAAGCATACCAAACTTTGTTAAAGCAGTTTTGTAAATAGACCACAGCAATGAATTTATTCAAATATATAAATACAAAGCAAAATCAGCGTCAAAGGAAATACAATTTACAAACTCAAAAGCAATAAAAAACTTCCAAGACTGAGGGTGTTAGTTAAAAGTGGCGGTAACGTATGGTTAAATTAAGGAGCATCGTTAATCACGAAATGCAGAAAAAGTATGCTTGTGTTATAATGTTTGGAAAAATCAAGCATATGTTAGTAAGACACAGGTAGAAATACAGACTGACATCCTGGTACTTCATGTACCAGGATGTCTGGACATATTAAACCCATCAAGAGACTGATAATCTACAAAGTGCCTGATCAGTATTTATGCAGCTTTAGACTTCAGAGGATTCTCGGCAAATACACATGCTAATTAGCTTAGCAACTAGAACGTGTCTGAAATATTACAAAAACCACTGACTTTAAAAACAAAATACAGAAACGTCATAAAGAACCGCTAAAATCTAAAAGAAAATTCTGGTGTGTAGTGTTTTTGTGTTTGGAGTGTGCTTTAATGGCGATATGCTGTTTTTCATAACAGGTCTTCTACCTGTTTGAGCCTCTGTACCATGTCCAGTTGGCACTGCTTCCTCGGTTGGCACAGAGCCGAAACCTGGCTGAGAGGAGGGTCATGCTGGGAGCAGCTCGAGACCTGTTAAGGTCTCTGTACCATTGTAACCTCCACAGCCTGGAAAGTTACATACAACCCCGTCCTGCTAGGCACTCCACTGACAAGCTGTTTAGACGAGGAGCTAGTAAGAGACATGAGTCTGCTACTTTTGCATCTGTTTTTGCAATCCAGTTCCTGTCTGTCACAGTTTTTGTATGGTACGTGTCCTGTCTTAGGCCGTTCTCTGTGCTCCCCACCTGTATGCGAGGCTCCACTGGGCTCGAAGGAGCAGGTCCTGGTGCTAGCTGATGAGGGGGAATGTGTGAGAAAGTGTGGGCCACTAAATGTGTCGGTGGCTGCTGAAGTCTGCAGAGCAAAGCGCCACGCAGCCATCAAGACTGTTCGGATTCCCCAAGTCAGTGACCTCAGGGCGCTCATTGAGGATCCAAGACTCAACCTGAAGGTAGAGAAATCATTTAATTGAAAGCATTCTACTTAATTCATAATGGATTTTAGTAATGCAGTTTGCATTCTTTCAGATCAGAGGCTTAAAGACTTGAGTAAGATTAAATGATGATTATGACAAGCCACTTAATTTAGACTTGATGACAGAACACAGACTCGACCTCTTGACATAAAATAAATTCATAAATTGAAAAATATCAGTGTTGTGCCTAGTTTTCCCATTATGAATAATTAAAACACAGTTTGTCTTGTCATATCCAGCATATGGCCATTTTTCTGCCTGTAGCTGAGAAAAGACATGCTAATGATTTTTTATATGCTAGTTCCTGTCGGGTCAGATTTAGTAAAGGTCTGCATCAGTGAAGAAAAATGTCTTTTGGCTTTAAAACATTATGTAAAAACAGCTACTGCTGGGATTGATGAAAGGCACTGACAGGTTTGCAACTGGAAGGCATTGACAAATATTTCTGTGGTTAGCTTTAGGGTATATACTAAAACTTGGGGAGGAGAGTATTTGTTTGAGTCACACGAACACGGTGGTTTAGCAGAGGGCAATTTACTGCAAACTGAACCATATTTAATACAGGAAGAAAGCGTGTCTTACTTTGCACCTGATGTGGCTAGTCGTGTGATACCTAACTGCATGCATTTATGTGGAACCACAGGAATAAATGTTATAAGAACACATGCATAAGTGGCAAAGGTTGATTCCTCAAAGCTGTGATCGTGGTACATATTTCTGGTCTTTATTGCAATTTTATTGTAACAGAGAACTGAGGTTGAGATGGTTTGGATATGTGCACAAAAGGCAAAATATTGTAAGTGGGAAGTTGCTGTGCAAGAAGAAGAGAGGAAGACCCTGAGACAAGATCTGTAGATGTAGTGAAGGAGGACGTGCAGAGGCTTGGTGTGATGCAGAAGATTGTTAGAGAGACGAGACAGAGGCAGATGATCTGCTATGGCAACCCCTAAAGGGAAAAGCTAAAAGAAAAAGTAGACCAAAACTTAACGTGAAGTGTTGGAAAACATAAAAATTCTTGTTCAGCTGATTCTCACTGAGACAAGAGCACAATGAATCTCTTGACCGTGTTTGTAGTGTTGGTTCTCTTTGCAGTGTTTTTTGCAGACATATGACAAATAATATGGCTTGTTGTGTGGTTAATTCAACAGTACTAACAGACTGTCCAAGACATCTGCGCTCCTGTTTCGGTGAGTGAAATAAGAGCGGGGTGGTTTGCATTTTTGTTAATGAAATCAAATCAATACTGTAGTAAAATTTCAAATAGAGTTTAGTATAGTGTTAAAATGAAAGAGATTTTATATTAACATACGAGGGCAATCCCAAAAGTAATGTCTCCTACTTTTTTAGGAAATACAAACAACCGTTTATTTTCTCTTTTACATCATTTTAAAGGTTGGAGAATTATTTAATTTTCTACATAATCGCCATTTTGGTCGATGTCTGTGAAGGTTCTCGGTCATCCGGGTCAACTAGTCTAAGGAGCTTGGAAAGAAAAGCATCTGGACTTCTTTAACTTTTCTTTTTGTAGACGCTGTGGCACTTTTAGAATGCCCATGTCATACCAGCTCGCCGCCATGTCTTTCAGGAAGCACTGAACCTCATCTTTCACCTCTTCGTCAGAGCAGAATCACCTTCCGCTGGCTGTAAACTCTTTACACCACTTGCAAATGTTTTTGACATCCATGCATGACTGTCCATACACTTCCATCAATTGGCGATGAATTTCAACCAGTTTAAAGGAGCCAGCTGAGGTGGTTCGGGCATCTGACAAGGATGCCTCCTGTGCGCCTCCTGGGTGAGGTGTTCCGGGCATGTCCCACCGGGAGGAGGGACATGCTGGAGAGATTATATCTCTCAGCTGGCCTGGGAACGCCTTGGTGTTCCCCCGGATAAGCTGGAGGAGGTGGCTGGGGAGAGGGAGGGCTGGGCCTCTCTGCTTAGGCTGCTGCCCCCGCGACCCGGCCTCGGATAAAGCGGATGAAGATGGATGGATGGATTAAAGCCTTTTGCATTCAGAAATCGAATAACTGCGCGAACTTCGCACTTGGCGGTAGCGTTCAACGGGAGCTACATTTTCAAGGGCTGCCAAGCCATGATTGAGCATCCCAGCGAAGCGGCGCATGCTTGTTTGGGAGTGGAGGAAGCACCAATCACAACAGTGTGGCCCACAGCCGTACGAACAGTTTCTCTACGTCCCCACCGCTTTAGAGACCTTACTTTTGGGATTGCCCTCATATAAATCATGGAAAACACTGTAATATTGAAATAATGACAATCCAAGGTTCTCCACAACTACATTTTCACCAGTTAATGACAGACTTTACTAGTGATTGGATAAGCAGACCCATTCAACAAAGACAGATGTGATCAGAAGCTGAATATTTATTTGTAACTGGTTATTGTATTGGCAGATTGTGAGATGGCACTTAACAGGTCTTTACTAACTGAGGACACGGTAGACTGAATGATGGATGGTTAGATGAACAGTCAATGCTACTCTAAATTGGAATTGATTAAACATGTGGTGTCAACAGCTGCAGTCCCTCAGAATTACCCTAAACATGTGTAGAGACACATGGGCTTAATGTACCTCATTCAACCTCACAGGGCAGTAAAAACATTTTGCCAGTAGCCTTAGTTTGACCTTAATTTATGTATGTTATGTTAAAACACGCTTTTTATTCAAGTTACCACTGTGGATGGTGGCCTCAGTTTGTTATTTTGTCTTTTTTGTGTCCAAATAAATCATGGACGTCAGAGCTACAACAAATTTACGACTTTCCAACTGTCATGACCTCATCTGTAGAATTAATGAACACTCCTTTCAGTGGTGCTCTTACCTTTGTATATAAAGAGAAAATGTCTGGCAGTTGCAGACATTATTGTCACAGATATTTCTCTGCATTTAGTCCATCCACAAACAAGATAAACTTCTGCTTCTGGTGGGGATGATATCACCAATTTCTTGGGATAATGAGACATGCCCCCTGTAAGCCCACCGCTCATGAAAGGTCATCTGATTATGGGGGTTTCTCTGCATTATTATAGGGTCTTTACCCTTACAATGTTATTTTGTGTTTTATAAGTAATAAGTAAGTAATATGAAATTGAACTTTTGAATAGAGCAGATTTCATGGTTGCATTAGTTACCACAAGTCACCCAGGGCCTGGACCACCACCATGTTTAACTGTTGGTATGATGTTGTCTATAGGTGTTACTTTTATGTCACATGTAATGAGACTCAAACCTTTCAAAACATTCAGCTTTTGTCTCGTCAGTCCACAGAATATTTTCCCAGTAGTCTTGGGGATCATCAAGATGTTTTTTGGCAAACGTGAGACGAGCCCTTGTGTTCTTTTTGGTCAGCAGTGGTTTTCTGCTTGGATTTCTCCCGTGGACGCCATTTTCCCTCAGTCTTCTTCTTACTGTTAAATCATGAATTCTGACCTTACCTAAGACAAGTGAGGACTGCATTTTTTTGTTATTATTCTGGGTTCTTTTGTGACATCCTGAATGAGCCGTCAAAGTGCTCTTGGAGTAATTTTTGTAGGAAGGCTGCTTCTGGGAAGGTTCACCAGTGTTACAAATTTTCTCCATGTGTGGATAATGCTCTCTAATGGTTTTGTAAACCTTCCCAGACTTATAGATGTCAATGATTTTATTTCCCAGCTGTTTCTTTAGATCGTGGCATGATTTGTTACTTTTTGAGAGCTGTTATCCTATTTTACTTTGTTGGACAGGTTCTATTTAAGTGATTTCTTGATTTATCAGGTCTAGCAGTAATCAGGCTTGGGTGTAACTAGAGAAATTGAACTCAGGTTTTCAAATAATATGGTTATTAACAGTTAATTTGTGTATAACTTTCTTAGGGATTTAACGAAGGGGCAATTACTTTTTCCCAGAGGATCAGGAAGCCTTGGGTAGCTTTTTTTCCTAAATAAATGGAATTGTGATTTAAAACCTGAATTTTGTATTTACTCTAGTTATCTTTGTCAAATATTAAAATGTGTTTGTTTAAAAGTGTGTCAAATATGAAAAAAAAACAAAGCTTCTCTAATGACAATGTAGTTTGGGGGAGACTTTTTTATGACAATGGACATAGCAAAACCAAATTGCACTATAGGGATACTTCAGATACCTAATTATTCTTACTTACTGGAGGTCTGCAAGTAGTTGTGAAGATGGTGGGGGAAAACTTCTCGTTAACACATTTGGATCTGGATCGTCCTATAAGTTAGAACTGAAAAGGAACAAAAGAATAAAGAAATTCAGAGAATGTACAAAATGTCATGCCTAAAGCCTTTTAAAAAGAGTTTCAAAGAGAGAACATGGTCAGTTAAATACAGAGGACAATCAGAAAAAAATTAAAATGGGCAACAAAATTAATTGCGTATGCAGGCCTGTGAACTAAATTAAGGTTGAATCCTTGAACAGAGGCCACTGGACTTCTATAGCTTCCTTACAATATGAATTCTGATTCATATCGTAAGGTTACGAGCCTCGAATAATACAGAGAAAACCCCAACAATCAGATAACCCCTCTGAGCAAGTGCTTTGGCCACAGTGGGAAGGAAAAAAATCCCCTTTGACAGGAAGAAACCTCCAGCAGAACCAGCAAGTTTTAAGCCTAATGTTAAAATTAGAGAGATTGTCTGTCTTCTGAATCTAAACTGTGAGCTTGTTCCACAGAAGAGTTGAATGGAAGCTGATGGGTCTGTGTTAGGTTTATATTGTGGATTGTCATTTATGCTTAGAAATATATACTCATATATGCGTAGAGTTTTATAATCGATTGCATATCGATAGGACGTCTGATCCTTACCAGTCTGCAAAGACTCTGTGTGCCTCCCAGAGCACTCTGGCATACACACACACAACTTAAGGTCATGAGAGAGGTCGTACCTTCTCTTACTGATTTATGGTATAGGACAG